GGGGGGGGGGGGGGGGGGGGGGGGGGGGGGGGGGGGGGGGGGGGGGGGCAAAAATGCACAGATACATCCAGTTGGCTCTTAATAAAACTTGGCTGACGATGCGTCTTGTTTTGTCCAGCTTAAAACTTTGTTTATTTGACATAAACTGCGTCGATTTACTTCATCGAGTAGCCTGTGAGAACTGGCGTATCACACTGCTAAATAAACAAATATGGGGATGTGGAATACATGTGGCACGACTGACCGCACAGAGGATCCTGCGCTGGCAGTTTGATCGATCTTGATAACTAAACGAAGTGCCACTAGGACGGTCACTGTTGGAGTTTTGATGTCCATCGTTTCGAAATACAAAGAACGACTTGCCTTCTGAATAACTGCACAAAATACTATTTTTTGCGAGGCACAGATGTTTGTTTTTTATTAATACCTGATAGACTGTGAGTGAAAATTGAAGTGCGCACATTGCTATGGGATAACAAATGAACGGATATGGAGCAGTTCAAGTTATGTTAAGTTCCGATGTATGGCTGCGCAGCTGCTGTCCCTTTCGACAACAAATGACTGTTTTGCGCGGTGGCGTGGCACATCTGACTGAGGATTTTCGGCCCAAAATGAATACGGTTTGGAGGAGAAAATGCTGTTTTCCGGGAACCGCATCCTGAGCGCATTTGAGGCATCCCTTGAGGCGAGCTGCTTCATCTGATCACTGCTTGCACTGAAAGCACGGAACAGCGAAGTTGTAAGGATTATTGGCTGCGCACATTTCATCACTTACGATATGGTTTGCAGGATGCCAGGTCTTCTCTTAGGAGCAGGGGAACTCATCGGGCTTTGTAGGTACTGTTTCGAAGTCTGGCGGTACTGCACGAAAACACCCCCTCTCCAAGAGCAAAAGGTCCGCGAAGGAACGATGATAGCAGTGTACGCTGGTGGTACTTGTACGTTGTTTTATGCTAATGCGGATGTCAATGGACAGCCTCAGAATCATATCGCCAGGCTTCTACCTAGACCTGTGACTTCAGTTAGATGAGGATCTTCTAAATCGACAACTTAATGCTTTTGCAGTGCACAAACTT